ATTTTACTTTTAGATTTGTGTGTATTGTTGTGAATTGTTAGATACTAAGGCACTGTTGGAGCTAGGAACACAAGCATTTCGCTACACCTGCAATAACATCTGCTAAATATGTGTATGTGACCAAAAATATTTGATTTGATTTGATTTGCTCTGACATCATGCTCTACTTCTCCTCTATTCCCTTTATATTAATCCCACCTTTTCTGTCCACACGACACTTATGGTGTCACTTGCATCTGTTTTCCAGTCCTCTGTATCATATCATCTTCACCTCAGCCAAATATGTATGGATAGGATGGGCAGTTTTCTTTTCTTTTAGAAGGTGACCCCCGACACTCTCTCTCTTTTTCTTTCTCCTTCTCTCTCTCTCTCTCTCCCTCGCTCTCTCTCCCTCGCTCTCTCTCTTTCTCCCTCTCTCTCTCCACGGTTCTCTTTTAGAGGCAGAAGCGGTCATAGCATTGCCATTCTGCATCGGACCGTATCTAGACCTAACGTAAGAAACACATCAGTGCACTTACTGCGCATCCTGTAGTCTACTAACAAATCAATTGTCCCAGTTGCAATGCATTTAGTGCATGTCCCAGTTGCAACGCATTTAGTGCATGTCCCAGTTGCAAAATTTCCTGGAGGATCCCAGGAGCGTTTGTCCTCCTTGGAGTACAAAGTAGAATATTCAAACAATGCAAGGAGGGAGAGCTGATTTCAAATGAACACCAAGACATCGGAGAGTAACCAGAGATCTGAAGAGAGCTGGGGGTGGTGAAGCTAAAGAAGACATCTCAGGGAGACCTGCCACCAGGAACCTGGGTATTTGTTAACTGTGACACTTCTGGAAGAGAGGATCACATCAGTGTCCTGTTAGGAGGACTGGACCAGGAGGCTTGGGAGGGATGCAGGTTTGGTGCTGGGCTGAGGGACATGGACGGAAAGAGTCCTTGACTCTCAGTCTCCAGAGAGGGCAGAGAGGTGGGGAGGAGTTTAGAGAGAGGGAGGTTGTGGCTGGTTGGGAGGCTGTGAAATGAGGGAGACAGGGTAAGCCCTATGGTTTAGGCTAGGGGGACACTGGAGTGAAAATATAACTGATCAAATATCTGTATAATAACATATCAGAGTTTTATGAAAATCCTGTGGAATTCACTTTTTCTCACAACTGATAATTAACATGTAGAGGCGTCAATAGGTGTCAATGGACATCACTTTGGTGACCTAAAAAGTTCACAATGGACCTCCCGAGTGTCGCAGTGGTCTGAGGCGTCACTACAGACCCAGGTTCGATCCCAGGCTGTGTCACAGCCGGCTGTGACCGGGAGACCCATGAGGCGGCGCACAATTGGCCCAGCGTCGTCCAGGTTAGGGGAGGGTTTGGCCGGCTGGGATTTCCTTGTGCCATCGCGCTTTAGCAACTCCTTTTGACGGGCTGGGCGCCTGCAAGCTGACTTCGGTCGCCAGCTGGACGGTGTTTCCTCCGACAAATTGGTGCGGCTGGCCTCCGGGTTAAGCGAGCAGTGTGTCAAGAAGCAGTGCGGCTAGGCAGGGTCGTGTTTCGGAGGTCGCATGGCTCTCGACCTTTGCCTCTCCTGAGTCCGTAGGGGAGTTGCAGCAATGGGACAAGACTGTAACTACCAATTGGATATCATGAAAAAGAGGTAAAAGAAAAAATAACATTCACCATGTTCCTGTAAATCACACTCCCAGTCATGAAAGGATGCGTTTGAAGCGCCAATTGTGTGAAGTTGTGTATGGTAATCATAGCCCAGATACAGGAATAGAAACATCAATAAAAAATGGTCTTACTTCTCAACTGGAATGTTGATAGCAAGAGCCTTAGTGCTGCTGTTATGTTCATTACTGTGGGTGGGGAAAATGTGATGTTCTGTGTTCATGTGTCCAAAATGTGTTCTGTGTCCAAAATGGAATTAATTTGCTAGCTATCTATTTGCTGCCTGTTCCGGATGTGCTGTACTTTCTCAATCCGACTGGTAAGTAATGAGCAGGATAAATATCTAGTTATAATGTAAGTTAATCATGTTTGCGTGTTTCTGGCTTTCAGAGTATTTTTGCATGTGTACACTTTGTGAGGCAGTCTGTAGTCCTACAGTGGATTAATATACTTTAAAGAGATGATTGATATCACTTTCTATCATGGGGAATAATACACTTGGCAGTTAGGTCCTTGACGGATTTACAGTTCTGTAATAGACAGTGGAATCATGAGCTTTGGCCAGCAGTTCCCAAGAGAGGGAACTCACTCAGCTATACTTGAGTGAGTTCTGATTGGGTTTTGATGGGTGATTGAGAGGCCGGGGAGAGTTTGGTGAGAGGAACAACAGAACAGCAGATGCTTGATTGGATGAGAGGCCGGGGAGAGTTTGGTGAGAGGAACAACAGAACAGCAGATGCTTGATTGGAAGTATTAAGCACTTTCTGACTGTCTCACTGTTTCATTTTGCCCAGACAGGAATGCACTGTACTGTACACTATGTTGTGTTGCGGAGAGGCGAGGACTATGTGATGTTCTATACCTGCTTTTGACATCACACAAATAGACAAGAGCCACAAGGCTTAGGGCTAATGCCAGTCACGTGATTCAAGGTGCTTTAGCTGAAAATGCATGAAAAAACCCCAGTGAAAGTAAGAACACATGGAGTAGCAGAGGATGTACAGTGGGGAAAAAAAGTATTTAGTCAGCCACCAATTGTGCAAGTTCTCCCACTTAAAAAGATGAGAGAGGCCTGTAATTTTCATCATAGGTACACGTCAACTATGACAGACAAAATGAGAATTTTTTTTCCAGAAAATCACATTGTAGGATTTTTAATGAATTTATTTGCAAATTATGGTGAAAAATAAGTATTTGGTCAATAACAAAAGTTTCTCAATACTTTGTTATATACCCTTTGTTGGCAATGACACAGGTCAAACGTTTTCTGTAAGTCTTCACAAGGTTTTCACACACTGTTGCTGGTATTTTTGCCCATTCCTCCATGCAGATCTCCTCTAGAGCAGTGATGTTTTGGGGCTGTCGCTGGGCAACACGGACTTTCAACTCCCTCCAAAGATTTTCTATGGGGTTGAGATCTGGAGACTGGCTAGGCCACTCCAGGACCTTGAAATGCTTCTTACGAAGCCACTCCTTCGTTGTCTGGGCGGTGTGTTTGGGATCATTGTCATGCTGAAAGACCCAGCCATGTTTCATCTTCAATGCCCTTGCTGATGGAAGGAGGTTTTCACTCAAAATCTCACGATACATGGCCCCATTCATTCTTTCCTTTACACGGATCAGTCGTCCTGGTCCCTTTGCAGAAAAACAGCCCCAAAGCATGATGTTTCCACCCCCATGCTTCACAGTAGGTATGGTGTTCTTTGGATGCAACTCAGCATTCTTTGTCCTCCAAACATGACGAGTTGAGTTTTTACCAAAAAGTTCTATTTTGGTTTCAGCTGACCATATGACATTCTCCCAATCCTCTTCTGGATCATCCAAATGCACTCTAGCAAACTTCAGATGGGCCTGGACATGTACTGGCTTAAGCAGGGGGACACGTCTTGCACTGCAGGATTTGAGTCCCTGGCAGCGTAGTGTGTTACTGATGGTAGGCTTTGTTACTTTGGTCCCAGCTCTCTGCAGGTCATTCACTAGGTCCCCCCGTGTGGTTCTGGGATTTTTGCTCACCGTTCTTGTGATCATTTTGACCCCACGGGGTGAGATCTTGCGTGGAGCCCCAGATCGAGGGAGATTATCAGTGGTCTTGTATGTCTTCCATTTCCTAATAATTGCTCCCACAGTTGATTTCTTCAAACCAAGCTGCTGACCTATTGCAGATTCAGTCTTCCCAGCCTGGTGCAGGTCTACAATTTTGTTTCTGGTGTCCTTTGACAGCTCTTTGGTCTTGGCCATAGTGGAGTTTGGAGTGTGACTGTTTGAGGTTGTGGACAGGTGTCTTTTATACTGATAACAAGTTCAACCAGGTGCCATTAATACAGGTAACGAGTGGAGGACAGAGGAGCCTCTTAAAGAAGAAGTTACAGGTCTGTGAGAGCCAGAAATCTTGCTTGTTTGTAGGTGACCAAATACTTATTTTCCACCATAATTTGCATTACAGGCCTCTCTCATCTTTTTAAGTGGGAGAACATGCACAGTTGGTGGCTGACTAAATACTTTTTTTCCCCACTGTATGGCACACAGAACGGTCATATCTTTGTAATTTCTTTCCATCCATATTTTGGTGCAAGCAGGAGGTTTGATATTTATAAGAAGCTGTCAACATGTGTGTACAGTTCTTAGACTTCATCTGTCATATTCTCTTTATAAAGTGGCCTAAAGGCAGGATCCACCTGCTCCTCGTCTCCAGTCACTGGTTACACACTGACTAGGGCCCTCACAGGGCTGACACTCTCTTATCTTGATTTTAATATGTAACAAGAGTGATTTTATAAACCATACTACACACGAAACTGACTTTTTAAAAGAGAGGGTTGCTCAGTCACACATACACAACATACTGTATTCCTACTCAAACATATTCAGGAAGTTTAGTCTAAAATGGCCACAATCAATCATATTTACATTTACATTTTACATTTTAGTCATTTAGCAGACACTCTTATCTAGAGTGACTTACAGTTAGTGAGTTCATAAATTTTTCCATATGAAAATTAGATCCTACCAGACCATGACCAAATTGTGGAATTTAGTTTTCATAAAAAAATTTCATTAGCTCCATTACCGTTTCAAGCACTATAATGAACAAGTGGTTTGTGTTTGTGTTGAAGCCTAATGGCTACTCTCAATCATCTACTGTTTATGTATGGGGGCTCCCATCCTATTCATACAACATGAATCTCATGTGTGCCTTAAGTTTAAAAAAAAAAGTACAATTGCACAAAATGAAACAAATGATGACGTTCACACCCTGTGTAGAGGACAGGTTCCTCCCTTGGTCATCATCAACCTTTCGATCTTCAGTTTCTTTACACATCTCCTCTCTCTCCTTCTCCAGGTCCTCTCACTAGGCCCAGATGTCCTACCAGAGTACAAGCTCCAGACCCCCCGCATCCATAAATGGACCATCCTGCACTATAGCCCCTTCAAGGCGGTGTGGGACTGGGTCATCCTGCTCCTGGTCATCTACACAGCCATCTTCACCCCCTACTCAGCGGCCTTTCTCCTCAGTGACCAGGAGGAGGCGGCCATGCAGACCTGTGGTTACTGCTCTCCACTGAACGTGGTGGACCTCATAGTGGACATCATGTTCATCGTTGACATCGTCATCAACTTCAGGACGACATACGTCAACACCAACGATGAGGTGGTCAGCCAGTCGCAGCGGATTGCCGTGCACTACTTCAAAGGGTGGTTCCTCATAGACATGGTGGCGGCTATCCCCTTTGACCTGCTCATATACCGCTCTGGAGAAGAGGTGAGGAGACCTGGGTGTAGTGGTTTTTAATGCCCTAAAAGTCTCATTGTTGTAACTATCCAACTGCTGCTGCGATCGTCTGTTTTAAGAGTCTCTGCAATATTTTCTTTCTACTTTCTTCTTTCTTAACTAAACTGACACATAGTGATAATAATCAAAATAACTTGGTTGTATGGCTGGGTGTTCTGCATGTGTGAATGACCTGTCTTGGACAACTTTCTTACCTGTACCCTTTAAGACAACAACCCTGATTGGCCTGTTGAAGACTGCTCGGCTGCTGCGATTGGTGCGCGTAGCTCGGAAGCTGGATAGATACTCTGAGTACGGAGCGGCTGTCCTCTTCCTCCTCATGTGCACCTTTGCCCTCATTGCTCATTGGCTGGCCTGTATCTGGTACGCAATTGGTAACGTGGAGCGTGCAGGAGCAGCCCGGATTGGCTGGTTGGACTCTCTGGGGGACCATCTCGGAAAGCCCTACAATCAGACTATACCAGGGTCAGGTCCCTCCATCAGGGACAAATATGTCACAGCACTCTACTTTACCTTCAGTAGTCTGACCAGCGTGGGCTTTGGGAACGTCTCCCCTAACACCAACTCTGAGAAGATCTTCTCTATTTGTGTAATGCTCATCGGCTGTAAGTCCCAATTATAAACCAGCAATACACAAATAAGTCTTGCTTAATACACACGTTATGCTTCTGTTAACACATGATTGGAAATTTGACAACACATGGATGGGTAATGTGCAATGTAAGGATTATGTGTATTGGACCAATTGGACAGCCACATCTTGTGCCCACTGTCCAAGGCAATTCTTCCCCAGGGAAGATTATGTCAATTTTATTGCATCTTATTTAATAATATAAAACACTACATTTTGATTACAGGCACAAAATCTTCATGTTTTTCTAGGATTATAATATTACATGCTTATTTTGGGGGGAATATGCTCAGTCCTCTCTATTCTCTCTGTGTGTCTACAGCTCTCATGTATGCCAGCATTTTTGGTAACGTGTCCGCCATCATCCAGCGGCTGTACTCCGGCACGGCTCGCTACCACACCCAGATGCTGCGGGTTCGAGAGTTCATCCGCTTCCACCAGATCCCCAACCCACTGAGGCAGCGGCTGGAGGAGTACTTCCAACATGCCTGGTCTTACACTAACGGCATTGATATGAATGCTGTGAGTCATACACACACTTGTGCGAACACACACACGCATACACACACAGCTACTTGTTTTGGTAATGTAAGTGTGGCGAAATGGACACATTTAAGTAGGAAAAAGGCAACACACAGTGGTCGACACAAAGACAAACCAACTGATGTGTCTCCACTCCTCTATGTCGTCCAGGTGCTGAAGGGCTTCCCAGAGTGCTTACAGGCTGATATCTGCCTGCACCTCAACCGCACCCTGCTGCAGAACTGTAAGGCCTTCAAGGGCTCAACTAAGGGCTGCCTGCGGGCCCTGGCCATGAGGTTTAAGACCACCCATGCCCCGCCGGGCGACACCCTGGTCCATGCCGGTGACGTCATCTCAGCCCTCTACTTCATCTCCCGTGGCTCCATAGAGATCCTGAGAGGGGATGTGGTGGTGGCCATCCTGGGTAGGATATCATCTGAACTGCATTTCCATATTGCACAATAAAGATTTCCTTGATTTTAATTGACTTGACTTGCAGTGGCTTTTAACCTGTACTGTATATTGTTGCAGAGGCTTTTAACCCAGTATCTCTAATCTCCTCCACTCCTTGAGAGATGCCTCCATAGCCCTCCGCAATGTTTAGTCTAACAGCCTCATCTAGTGGTTGCTATGGGTTAGTCACAAGAATATGAGAGAGCACATCCACTCAGAAACCTTGTAGATCGCTTTAAATTAACACAGAAAAAGTAAATTAGATATTGATTAATAACACATTGTCTCTGAATATCCACAATATCAGAAGCATATAATGTATCCATTTTGAGCATATATTAAATAGATATGGTATCATCAATGTATCTTCTCCTGTGCATCCAGTAAACAATCTCTCCTTTCCCCCCTGCAGGTAAGAATGACATCTTTGGAGAGCCCATTAACTTGTATGCCCGTCCAGGGAAGTCCAATGCAGATGTGAGGGCTCTGACCTACTGTGACCTCAATAAGATCCACAGGGAGGACATGCTGGAGGTGCTGGACATGTATCCTGAGTTCTCTGACTATTTCTGGGGGAACCTGGAGATCACGTTCAACCTTCGGGATGTGAGTGGGCTTTTTGTTACATAATTTTGCCTCTAATGCCTTGCTAAAAACATCACATTCAGGGGAATTTACTGTCTCTTATCTTTGAGTTTGATTATTAGAATTCAAATTATTTAACTAAATAAATCATTCTATTTCTTCTCACTTTAATAATTTTTTCAGGCTGCCACGGTAGCTGGCTCAATAAGCAGTGAGGACTCTGATCATTGTGGAGTCAGCTGTCGTATTCGCAGACAAAAACTGTCCCTCAGTCGCAGCTTGGACAGAGGTGTGGTACCCTGTTAGTCAAGTACTCTGGGTAGCACATGGCTAGATTAGATCATGATGTGTAATTCAGTTTGATTTTAGTAAAGCCATTCAATTTGCATTAATCACACTTGCTTCAATTAGACAAGTCTGTTCTATCCACTCTATAGATGCGTCCCAAAGTGCACCCTATTCCCTATATAGTGCATTACCCTATGGGCCCTGGTCAGAAGGACAAACCCTATTTCTGCATTCTATGCCTCTCCTCACAGATGCAGGGAAGACCAATCCATCCCAGAGACATGTCCGCAGGGCCAGAGGCCAGAGCTCCAGAGCCCAGGGAGATGGGCAGAACACAGAGTCTGAGGGCCTGATGAGCTCAGCCTATTCTCCTTCCTACTCCAGTGAAGATGAGGAGTCAGTGTTAACCAGCCCTGTACAACCAACTTCACTAGTGGGGATCCCCCATAGTCAGACCACCATCCTCAATATCAGCAGTGCTGTGGAGGATGAGATGAACCAGAAGACTGGCAATACCTGCAATCCTCTCTCAGGTAGACCATGCCTCCATCAGCACTACTCTTTTTTAAACCTTTGTCTTTGTGTTAGATCTCAGTGATGTTCTTTTTCTCAATTTGATGCACCGCAATAATAGCCTAGCATGCTGCTATTCATGTCAGTGCTGTTACAGGCTTTGGTTTTTCAATTTAATATTTCAAGGTTGGACGTTAGCACGTGGGGCACACCGATTGGTGTCACCTCGTTAGACAGTCTGTATTACACGTGTGCTGATTGGTCATCTTGTTAGAGGGACACCGTTTCACCTGTGCTGGCCCACGGTACAAGGGAAAACATCCACCTTGGCAATAACACAGTGAAATGTAGCTCAACCGAGCTACACGCTCTCACAACAAAACAATCACTCACAAAGACAAGGGGAACAGAGGGAACACTTATACACATACTAATTAGGGGAATGACCACCAGGTGTGTGTGATTGTCAAGACATGACAAGTGGAGTGATGAGAATGGGAGCGGCAGTAGCTAGTACTACAGTGACGACGAACGCCGAAGCCTGCCCGAACCAGGAGGGGGGCAGCCTCGGCGGAAGTCGTGACATTTAGTGGGCACTCATGGTGGGTGTCTTAGGTTCCAGTTGTTGTTGCTAGTCAACTTTCAGTGGACTCCCCCATGAGTGTCTTTCAGAACCCCTCCTAGAACCCCACCTGTTTCGTTTTGGTTAAAGTGATTTTCTTTGTTAGTTCCCTTTGTTGTGAGCGACTGAGTTTGTCTTGTGGGAACGTAACAGTACAGTATACTGAATGTTTCTGATAGAGATTCTGTATGAGCTGGACTAGCTGTCTGTCTTACCTCCCTTGTTCTCCCTCTCGATCAGGGGCTTTCTCAGGCGTCTCCAACATCTTCCGTTTCTGGGGGGAGAGCCACGAGCAGCAGCAGTATCAGGAGGTGCCCTGCCACTGCCTCCCCTCCCCTCCTCCTCCCCCTCTCCGCGCCGTCCTGAGCAACATTAGCCGACGGCAGTGCAGCGAGCTGGAGAACAGGCTGGACCTGCTGCAGAGACAGCTCAACAGGTCGGAGAATGTTGGGTCAATGTTGGGTGAACGCTTGGGTTGATTTTTATTCTTGCTTGTGTCCCAAATGGCACACTATTCCATATTTAGTGCACTACTTTTGACCAGAGGCCATAGTGCAGTAATTTGACCAGAGCCCTACAGTATGTAGGGTTCCATTTGGGATGCAACCAATGACTTCCCAAACCTTTGGTTTTGGGAGGCTGTCTCCCTTTAACTGAGGGATAATGAGATTACCCAAATAACCATTTACTGTTGTGACCTATGGAACTTTAGCTATGGTTGTAGTCTGACTATTCTACTGTGGTCCCTCAGGATGGAGTCACGGATGTCCACAGACATCAGGGCCATCATGCAGCTGCTCCAGAGACAGATGGTGCTGGTGCCCCCGGCCTACAGCACAGTGTCCTCCGTCCCTGAACCGTCCCCATCCCTCACCCCGAGACCTGCAGACTCAGAGACCCTGGCCTCCCTCTCACAGGTACTGTATGTATAGCACATTTTGCAACTGGGCACACCATCCAAGCAAATGGGGGGGGGGGGGTATTCTGTCTGTAATAATGCCCTTTCGTGAGGAAACTCATTCTAATTGGTTGGGCCTGGCTCCCCAGTGGGTGGGCCTGGCTGCCAAGTAGGCGCACCCATGGCTGCGTCATTGCCCAGTCATGTGAAATCCATAGATTACGGCCTAATTTATTTCAATTGACTGATTTCCTTAAATGAACTGTAACTCAGTAAAATCTTTGAAATTGTTGCATGTTGCGTTTTTTATTTTTGTTCAGTATAGATTTAACCTGGTTATTGATTTAGCACAGTTGATTTACTGATTTACTGACATTCTTTGTCGATCGTAATGTCACAAAGTGCAGTTGAGGTCATGTCATCAGTTTGATAGCAGCACATTTGTTTGAGAGAATTTGTTTTCGTGTGAAAGCATTGGATTAAAGATAACAATAGCATTTGAATGTTGGATGGAAGTCCACTAAGCCCACTGGGTGGTCTGGTCTAACCCCCTCTGGATTTAGGTAATCAGCTAGTTAGGACCGTCATCACTAGTCTGGATCCATAGGAAACAACTGCTCAGTCTGTCTTATCTAGCCTACTGTATATCAACCAATCATCCCACTTTGACGTTTTACATGTTCACTCTGAGAGGTTATTCTGTAGTTGTGTACTGTAGATCTGATTCTTCTCACCTCTCACTCTTGTTCTCTACCTCAGTTCTTGGTCAACACAGATTTTGACTACAGCCTTTCCAAGTCCTGTGAGTCTCTCCACAGTGCAGTGGAGCTATGTCTTCTGGAGCCTACCCCAGTCCTGGAGCCAACCCCAGCCCTAGACACTCTCCCCGAGACTCAGCCTCTTGGCAACAGCATCCACCCAGATCATCACGCCCTGGGCTTGTCCATCCATACAGATCCTGAGCCCTTAAGCCTGGTCAACCATGGGAACTTCTCAGAGTCCGGGCCAGGGACAGGATTGGCCCAGTCAGACCCCTCGGAGGGCCGACGGAGGCTCTCGCTGCCAGGGAAACGCACAGCTCTGGACCTGGAGAGCCCCTGGGCTACTGCACACAGATACAGCTCTGACCCTGGGAGTTAGGGAACATACAGTGTATGTGTGACACTAACAGTCTCACTGCTTATGGAAATGGAGTCATAAGAGGTACTCAAACAAAAACCTATCCAAACTGCTTCCCTCTCTGCCCCTGAAATACAGTATCCTGGGGATGGATAAAATGATTTTATGGTAATAAAAGTCCTCAAAGCATCGCTTTTCACAGATGTATACTACCATTTGCAGTGTTGTGTATATGGAAACATCTTTGTCTTTGTTAGTCAATATCTGGCTCTACTGTATATGTCCTTGTTGTCACCATGTATGGGTTAACTGGAGTGTAAGCTGACTAACATAACTTTCTGTTCTGTCTTGTGGAGTTGTGATGGGAGAGCTGCTGCTAATTTTCTTTAGTCTACTGATGTTGCTCTACCGACTGTCCGGCTCAATGGGTAACGGCAATGAATTCTGGGATCCATATCAAATTCTTAAATTACTGAACTGAATTAGCAAGCAATATGCAAACTGTAAAACATTTATGTTCTGTTATCATGGTGTAAATTGTGTGGTATCCTCACTCCTTGAGTTAGTCTAGATGTTGAACGAGATGGCGTGCGCGCTGAATGACATAATATCCAATCCGAGGCCAGCAGAGGATCACAGAATTATGATCTAATCTACTGAATTAAGTATCTGTCAGACCACAGCAATATTCCAAGATGCAGGTGTGCCACCTGGGCCTCAATTCCCCTCCCTTCTCTCTCTGACTACAGAAGAACACCTACTCAGTTACTACAGTGACTACACTCAGTTACTGTAACAGCAACGCCAAGTGTAATGCCACTGTTAGAATGACAATATTTACACATTTTAGAGCAGGACCTGTATGTGGTACAACATTTTAGTCTAGGTTGTAGCTCTTGTTTGATAAAATATTTAGATTTGAATGATTTCTTGGAAATGTATTTGTATATATTTAAAGAACATATCATTATGGATTATTGCTTAATTGTCATTCTGAATAGTACCATTAGCCTACCTAGACTGTTATAGTGTGTTACTGTCCGGTTCTGGGAAATGGATTATTGCAGAAAAAGTAGCTTGTTATGTAGGAATATAATGTAAAAATCTGATCTGTTGCAGGTTTGGGCCAGGGTACAGTATTTATTGATTCAGTTGAATAGAGTTACTGTGTAGTTTGATGTATCTTTGATAATTAACAGTTGGATGCTACTCTTAAATAAAAAGATGAACAAGAAATGCATTGTTTTGTATATGGGTCATACCTTGGAACTATTCAAACATTGTCAATTGAACAGGCCAATGCACATGTCTTATCACATGTTTGTTCATATGCGTTTTACTAAACATGAATAATCTGATTTTTAGTTGAAAGATATTTCATATTAATTCATGACATGTATATACTTCAAGTAAAAGCACTATACTGATCTGGATCTCAGGCCTGTGCAAATCTACAGTAACTCATAAAACGTCTGGTTACTATCATGTCCTGAGATTCCCTTTCGAAATCAGAGGTAAGATATGTGTTTGATTCCATTCCAGCCATTACAATGAGCCTGTCCTCTATCTCTGACCACCAGCCTCATTTGATGAAGCGATTTAAAAACAGAGATATTAGATCATAGTCCATGGATCATATAGTCCTAAACCTAAAACCAAAGTCAGAGGGTGACTGGCATAAGCCTATGAATAAACAGCAACAGTTTGCCTATAGGTGAAAGGCCCTTTAGATTTGACTGGTCCAACACTGGGTTCATCTGCCAGGGATTATATATTCACCAAATCAAATGAGACCCGTAATCTCTTAATTTGATAGAAAGCACTACATTACAGCACAGCAAGTGAATTGCTTGAAAACTATTACAGACTACAAAGGGAAGCACAGCCGCGAGCTGCCCAGTGACACAAGACTTCCAGACGAGCTAAACCACTTCTATGCTCGCTTCGAGGCAAGCAACACTGAAGCATGCATGAGAGCACCAGCTGTTCTGGATGACTATGTGATCACGCTCTCCGTAGCCAATGTGAGTAAGACTTTTAAGCAGGTCAACATTCACAAGGCTGTAGGGCCAGACGGATTACCAGGACGTGTACTCCGAGCATGTGCTGACCAACTGGCAAGTGTCTTCACTGACATTTTCAACATGTCCCTGACTGAGTCTGTAATACCAACATGTTTCAAGCAGACCACCATAGTCCCCGTGCCCAAGGACACTAAGATAACCTGCCTAAATGACTACCGACCCGTAGCACTGACGTCTGTAGCCATGAAGTGCTTTGAAAGGCTGGTCATGGCTCACATCAACACCATTATCCCAGAAACCCTAGACCCACTCCAATTTGCATACCGCCGCAACAGATCCACAGATGATGCAATCTCTATTGCACTCCACACTGCCCTTTCCCACCTGGACAAGAGGAACACCTACGTGAGAATGCTATTCATTGACTACAGCTCAGCATTCAACACCATAGTGCCCTCAAAGCTCATCACTAAGCTAAGGATCCTGGGACTAAACACCTCCCTCTGCAACTGGATCCTGGACTTCCTGACGGGCCGCCCCCAGGTGGTAAGGGTAGGTAACAACACATCCGCCACACTGATCCTCAACACGGGGGCCCCTCAGGGGTGCGTGCTCAGTCCCCTCCTGTACTCCCTGTTCACCCATGACTGCATGGCCAGCCACGATTCCAACGCCATCATTAAGTTTGCCGATGACACAACAGTGGTAGGCCTGATCACCGACAACAATGAGACAGCCTATAGGGAGGAGGTCAGAGACCTGGCCGTGTGGTGCCAGGATAACAACCTCTCCCTCAACGTGACCAAGACAAAGGAGATGATTGTGGACTCCATCGACGGGGCTGTAGTGGAACAGGTTGAGTGCTTCAAGTTCCTTGGTGTCCACATCACCAATGAACTATCATGGTCCAAACACACCAAGACAGTCATGAAGAGGGCACGACAAAGCCTATTCCCCCTCAGGAGACTGAAAAGATTTGGCATGGGTCCTCAGATCCTCAAAAAATTCTACAGCTGCACCATCGAGAGCATCCTGACTGGTTGCATCACCGCCTGCTATGGCAACTGCTCGGCCTCCGACCGCAAGGCACTACAGAGGGTAGTGCGTACGGCCCAGTGCATCACTGGGGCCAAGCTTCCTGCCATCCAGGACCTCTATACCAGGCGGTGTCAGAGGAAGGCCCTCAAAATTGTCAAAGACTCCAGCCACCCTAGTCATAGACTGTTCTCTCTGCTACCGCACGGCAAGCGGTACCGGAGTGCCAAGTCTAGGTCCAAAAGACTTCTCAACAGCTTCTACCCCCAAGCCATAAGACTCCTGAACAGCTAATCACGGCTACCCGAACTATTTGCACTACCCACCCCCCCTACCCCCACCCCATATTTTTACGCTGCTGCTACTCTGTTAATTATTTATGCATAGTCACTTTAACTCTACCCACATGTACATATTACCTCAACTACCTCAACTAGCCGGTGCCCCCGCACATTGACTCTGCACCGGTACCCCCCTGTATATATAGCCTCCCTACTGTTATTTTATTTTACTTCTGCTCTTTTTTTCTCAACACTTTTTTGTTGTTGTTTTATTTTACTATTTTTTTAATAAAAAAAATAATGCATTGTTGGTTAAGGGCTGTAAGTAAGCATTTCACTGTAATGTCTACACCTGTTGTATTCGGCGCATGTGGCCAATACAATTTGATTTGATTTGATTGACAGGATGGCGGCAGTCATGGTCTTAGATGTAATGCCTGGTTAGTCTGTCTTTGTTTACCTTATTAACTGAGAGAGACAGGCTTTTATTAGTGTCATTGAGGTCAGGGAAACATGCCCAAGGATAAAGCAGCAGACCATTCATCCATGAGTGGAGTTGGCTAAAGTTGCACATGAGCCTGTAACACCAATTAGATTTCATAATAATGAGCGAGACAGGTCAGGGTGTGTTTCCATTGTGAGGATGAACAGAGAAACTACAGAATGTAAAATATCCCTGCATAGATTTGAGAGCGAGACTAGGGCAAGGTGCCACGCCCCCGTTGCGCGTGTGTGTCCGGCGTTGAGAACTGCCTCCATTTTGCCAATCAGTGCGTATCGTGCCCATACAGTATACAGTTCTGTCGTCTACTGTAAATGATTGGCCACATTTCGTCTCAAGAATGGAGAAATGGACGATAGTTCATTTTGCACAATCACATCAGCTGAGCTGTCCTTCAGCAGATGTGGGCGGCATCTACGCAGAAACGGTGTGGGAATTATGTGCCGCGCTGACAATCTCTGCGTCAAAAATAGAGAATCAAACGAAACACGGCAGCATTTCTCGACTGTGATAGGCTGAGCATGGTGAAGTAGGCGGGCTGATTTTCTGCGGTCATTGAAGCGCTCTGTGGGAGAAGGTAGAACAGACTTCGACCAGGGACATTCACGACAACAATTGACAAACGGATAAAAAAGAGAAAACAGGGTAAGTAAAATTATGAATAATGACAATACACGGGAACACTGCAGCTCAGGCGATTATCTGGGTGGCAGTATTTGTGTGTTTTGCTTTTTCTATGCCTCAAAGATGTAGTAATAATTGATGAATGGTTACACGTTTATGACGGAGCAAGAAGCGCACAAAATGCAGAATAGACGCAGTCCCAGTCTGGTTGATTATTAATGCAATGCGCGCTATTTATTGTTCATATTGTATCACATTCTGTACCCAAATTGATGTTGTTTACATATCCACAGTGGGCGTGTTTGATTCACTCCCACTACGACCAATGCAGAACATTCTCTTTGTTATGGTGCCGCAGTTGAGTTAAGGGATGCTGACTGTAGACAGGTGTCCACCGCATCGCATATGGGTCCACGCCAACAGCGCTAACATTGATCGTCGTTACATACATGTGATATTATGCAGCTTAGACATTACAAATCACTAAGATAACCCCGATAGATGCATAAAGAATGCAATGCTACATCCCAGTGAGCACCGTCCGACTCCGAAATC